GTTCATTTTGTTTCAAAACTTTCGAGCATCAAAAAAAAAAGCGAAGACAATTCTCCAGTGTGTAATTATTTTGTCGTTGCTTCTCACTTCTGTACAATACATTGTTCATTCATATGCCTGGCAAAATAATGCCCCTTTTTATTTGAAATATACATTATTCTAACAACTAGAATATATCATCCTTAATGTGCACAATGGAACAAATAACTATAGTCATTTACATGCATAACTACCACTACTGCTTGTTGTCAATGACACAAAATATCGCTGATGTGCTTCTATACTCTATTTTTTTCTATTGATTGATGTTAGACATGCAAAAATGTTGCTTCTGTTTGTTGTGCCTATTAATTATTCCTTGCTATACGCTTCCACAATGATTATGTCTAACATAAATTTATGCTGTATTTACTTAACCAAAAGAATAATCATAATCATAAAAAAAAAGTTTTCGGCACCTTTTGCTTGTTCTTCCTTCCTTTTTCTTTTTTAAAAAGGGACTTTAAAGTTTGTATAACGGAGAATTTAGTGACTCAATAGAGAAGCGAGTAGGAGAGAAGGTCGAGGTTGATTCTCCTTTTTATTTCTATTTTACTGAGCCTTAGAAAAAAGTAATTATAGAATTTTTTTATTCTTTCTTTCATCGACCTTTTCCACAGTTTTTTTTTGTTGTTGCTTTCTTTTTGCTAAGTCTTGTGTAGGGTCAGGGGTTGAGATACTGCTGGATTTATAAAAATCATATTCTGAATTCTTGGATTTACAATATTGATGATCTCTAGTGTCTCTCGAAGTATTAAGAATAATATTAAAGCAGAGGCGGATAGAGGATTTTTTCAAGGGGTGCGGTATATTCCCAAGAAATTTTTATTGTCAAAAATCAATAAAACCTTCTCTATTCGAACTAAGTTCTAGAAAGAGCTAAGGACCTCCCCTGGCTACGCTCCTGCATTGAAGTATCCTCTTGGTACACTTGATCTCCTTGAATACTTCAGAATCTCTTACCTTACTCAATCTCATTTTGATCATTTTTGATTGTTTCGATCAGCTATCTACGTTTGAGTAGCTCTGAAAACCAGCTCTTGATGTATCGCAAGGATTTTCTTGGTCAGAACCACAGACAGCTCATTAAGTTTAAAAGATATAATCCAAAAAGTAGTATCAAATCAATTTACTAATAATAAACTGTTGCTGATTCAGTTAAGATTCAAACCCAACTTTCAGACAAAGTAAAAAACGAACCGAAAGTAAACCTGCTTCTTAAGCACACCAAAGAACAATTTAAATGACAATAGTAATTAAAACACAAATTACAAGATTTTTATTACAAAAATTCCAGCCTTAAGATTTCCAACCCTTATTTAACTAGACGTCCTTCTCCAATATTTTCGCCAACCATCCCCACCTCCACCATTTCATTAAGGAAAAGACGAGCGATAGAAAAAAAAAATAAAAATAAAGGACTCGTTTACTTGCTGTAATTTGTTTTTTATTGCATAGCAAAAGCCTTTTCGACCTCAAGTCTCATTAAGATAAACCCATCCATGTTATTAGGTTATGTTATTTTTTTCCGCTTTCTCGCTCGTCAGTGGTGTGGAAAACATTTTTTTTTGAAGGTTAGATTACCCCCAAGGAAATATAATTTCTCATGATATCGGTATTTTTGCTTTTAATTCTTCTAGCTTCGGGTTCATGATGAGAAAATAAAGTTTAGTAATTTTAAAATTGTTAAGGATTTGTTGTTGTTTTACTTTAAGACTTGGTGAGGAATTTATAGGCGCGCGTGTGTGTAGGCTTCTGAAAATATTTTTGGGTAGCTTGTAGAAAAATGTGCTTTAATTGAAACATTTTAAAAGCTGATCAATGAGTTTTATAGAAAAAGTTTTTGGTTTTAAGCACTCATCAATTATTTTGTTGTGTACGAAATTATTCCTTGTTTGAAAATTTAATGAGGCGTACGTTTGTGCTGAGTACATGAATAATTTTCAAAGTTGAAATTAAGTTTGTGATTTTTGAGAACATTTTCTGAAAGGAAATTGAAAGTTTCTTCTTGAATGTGTTAAGTAAGAAGCTTTGATGAATTGTTTCAAGGTTTTTTTGATGGGCTTTTGAGGATTTTGTTGAAGAAATTTGATAGAAGAGAGTTCAGTTAAGTACTATGAAATCAAATTGGAAGGTTTTGAGTAAGATTGAGCAGTTTTGAAGATGGAAAAGCTGAAGTTCTTAAGTTTTTAATTAAACATCTACAAGGTCACATTCGACATCCAAGGTATTATAATTATATGTAGCCAAATCTATAAAATTAACCCAAGGGGAACACAACATGATGGGAACTCCAACATTTTGATAGTTAATCGATGCGCGCGGATTGGTTTTTGCAACAAATTTCCGTTCATCGATTATCCATAAAAATGTTGAAGTTTCCATCATGATAAAGATTTCTTACTAAAACTATTTCTCATCATGTTGATATCCCCTTGGACGAGCCGTTTAATGATTAATTCAACTATAATTCTAAAAAGAGCCCTCTCATTATGTCTTATTACACCTTAATTACCAGTTTGAATTGTTTTCCGATTTACCGCCTACATAATAGCTACAATAAGAAAGGAAATGTCATTATGAATTATTTTATCATATTAGCATTCAAATTGCTACTTCTAAATTTAAATTGGTTTGATATTAAGCCTTTGTGGTGCCTTTCTTTAAAATTGAGGGTCTTTCTGTGTGGGTTGTTTGTGGAAGGCTTGAAGTTGCTATTCTTATTACTTTTTTGAGTTACTTTGATCATTCAACTAAGCTTGAATGTCACTAAACTATTAGCATACTAAGGAATACCTTTGTGGTCACTACTCTAACTCGATAGCTTAATTTCTTTAGAAAATGAAACTTTAAAGCTCTTTCAAGGTCAGTTCAATATCAAAGCAACTCATAAACCGTCAAGAACCCTTCAACACTTTCATAGCTTCCTTCTGACAACTTTCAGCGGTATCTTATATCAATTATTAGACAATCTACATTAAAAATTCATGACTTATCTCGAAAATATTCATGAGCTATCTCCATAAAGCTCCTCCATTCCTCAAAATGGAGTTAATTAACAAAAAACTGTATAATTAAAATTATTTTATAGCTTGATCCAAGTTCATCAAAAAAGAAACTTTCGTACGAGAAACTTTTTCAACAAGACGCCATTTTTGAAAAAAAAAATCTCATAAACGTGTAGATGAATAAACTATAATTCAGCTTTTAATTCCCAGTAATAAATGCTCTGTCATCCGGCTTTAACTTTTACAAATTTCAACTATCATAAAAAGTCATAAAATTTTGATTAATGCCTCAAAAATTATTATACGAGGTGTAATAAAAAAATATATATTTTCAGAGACAGAACCTCATGTGAGAGACATAACAGACATAAAGTCAGTGACAAGTCTGCAAAAATATTGTCATAAAATGTCATTTAATTTATAATGTATATTCTGTGACTCTCATTTTGAACATTAAAAGCATGCAGAACATAAACAACAAGTGTGTAATGACTACGAGAAATGTGATTTTCAAACATTAATTACAATTTTTTGTGGATGCCTTGAGTCATTAATTTCAGCTTCAAAGAGAAAAATTTCCAAAAAAATAATTTTCCAAAAAATTCTCAATTGATTTTCATCAAAGCCAACAAGCATTAAGTGGAATTGAAAAAAAAATCAAATTTATGACGACGAAAAAAAAAAGTTATTTCAATTTTAATTTTATTCGTTTTTTTTTTACTTCATCATCATCAACAGAAGTGACATTGTGGGGGTTGTCGAGGGGTGGAGCAATGTAAGGGGATTTTTATTATTTATGCATATTGAGGAGAAGGGGAGAGGGTGGGTTCTAAATATATATTACTAATATTATTACTAATATTTATTAACTTAATAATTTTAATACTTAATATGGGAATAGCCTTGTTTAACTGGGCAGTTTTGGGTGAGTCATGTCTAGGCTGTCTAACTGTGCACTTTTGAGCAGAATAGCCCATCTTTCTGAACAAAGTTCTTGTCTAAAATCTAAAAGGTCCCGCTTTTCTGAACCTAGTTTTCTTGGAAAATGCTTAAAATTTTGGTCTGTCTCGCTTTTATAGAGCTAAAATCGAAGCATGTCCGGCTTTTTGAACAAAAATAGGCAAAACCTAATAGACAGCATAGTCATGTCTCATTTTTGATGTTGATGAACCTAGTGAGGATGAGGTTTGCTACTCTACAAGGAGTAATACTTAATTTTGGATTTTAAATTCATCTATTGTTGTATCATGGTACATGTCTAGGTTACCAGTATTATATTAAGTGATTTTAAAAGAAACTTAATTTTTAAGGTAGCTTCTGAGTTCAACTTAAGTCTCAAAATCCCCAATTTCGATGGTATTTTGGGGATTTTTGAAGTTATCTGTCAGATGACACCAATTTTGCATTAACAACACGTTTTTAAAGCCTAACGTATATTTTAATCAAAACTCACCTCAACCCTACTCATCTGCATGCGGTAAAGGTACCTACACCTACATACTCGCTTAGTTAAGAACCTTAGATTCTAAAACACACCACAACAATACACCCTATCCTAGAATACATCCATAATTCACCAATAGTTCCCCATCATTTTCTACTACCTCACCTCCTATAGTCTTCCTATAGAAAAACGATAAATTGAAATATTTATGATGAAAAAAAAAATATTTATGTCACACAATTTAGATGAGAAATTTATTTTTTTAAAAAAAAAGAAAATCGAATGAAATAAAAATAAATTTTATGAATTTTCATAAATAATTTCCTCTTAAAAGCATCGCACATACAATTCTCTAGATTCACGGTGAAATTACATTGCATAATATATGTATACGTACCGTACAAGCAGCAACGCGAGACAGCAAAATGATAATTGAAAAGAATTCACATGTGCACATAAAATTTATTTTCAATGATTGAATTTTCAATCTTTTTTTTTTATTTCCACAGAATTTACATAAAAATATTGAATCAGGAATATAAAGTTTTCTACATTGGCACCAACACCGGTCGCATCTACAAAATTGTACAATTTATGCAAGATGGCGATTCAAAATCAACGCTACTCGATATATTTGAAGTTGCACAAAACGAGCCCATACAAGTGATGCAAATAAGCCAAAAGCGTAAATCACTTTACGTGTCCACAGATCATCGCATAAAGCAAATTGATTTGGCTATGTGTAGTCGTCGTTATGATAGCTGTTTCAGATGTGTGAAAGATCCGTATTGCGGTTGGGATCAGGATACGAATTCGTGTAAACCGTACGAGCTGGGACTTTTGCAGGTAAGCGGTTGTTAGAATATGCATAAAAAAACACATTTTTTTATGCTTCTGTTTTATTCACATGATGGAGAACAATATGTGGTATTGTATGATATTTGCTCGACTGTCTTATCATGAAAGTGATATGAGTGGATGGTGGGAATCATAAATTTAATATTATGGGGTTTCACGGTTGCAATTGAGTTATTCTTTTTTATACAATTGTATGTTACTGTTAACCGAATGGTTATTATGGGTGGATTTAACAATGTAGATAAGTGTGTCATTTGAGGGCGCTGATAGATTAATGTGGGTCATGTGTTTTTGAAAATCTTGTGTTCTTTGTTATGTGTCATACTGAGTTGGATGGGATTTGGTAAGCTAAGAAGGATTGATTTTTTCAAAATTTGAATAATTCTAGAGTTAAGAGGTTCAATTCTTATATGGAAGAAGGGGGGAAAAAGTGGGGCAACCAGACACTATTATAAAAAATGAACTAGTTTGTGGGAGAAGTTAGGAGGACATAAATCACAGATTTTGACAAAACGAAGCTTTAAGAGCGCACCAGTAAGTGTGGAAGTCAAGACAAAACACCTGAAAAGGATGCTAACTTTGATGCAAGGTTGCGCAATATTTTGATATGACCTCAAGCCAGGGGCGTAGCCAGAAATTCAAAGAGGGAAGGCAAAAAAATTTTATATGGAAAATTCAGAGGGAAGTGGCGGATTTTTATGATTTTTTCATAAAACTCCTAGCAAAATGAAATTTCTGTTAACGACAGGGGATTTGTCCCCCAAATCCCCCCCCCCCCCCTTGGTTACGCGCCTGCCTCGAGCAAACAAAATCTCTTACTACAACTTTTGATAATTGTTAATAATTGCTGTTATTCAAAAAAGCATAAGAACCTTCCTATAATTACAAAGTAAAAGCTATTCCACTATCCTGATGACAGCGATGATTTTCTGATATAAATCCAAACATTATCATTACATTCATCATTAATTTTAAATGATTTTCCCACAATTTTCCATATCCCCAGCTAAAAAATAGTCATATTTAAAGCACATTCGAAAAATTGAATAGCGCTATAATTCTCATTAAATTTTCAATCCTTACTCACTTTAATAATGGTGGGCAACAAAAGTGAGAATATTTTTTTTTTCTCTCCATGTTTGTTACTTCAGCCACTCGAGGCCAACTCATATATGTAATTCATGCATGCATGGATGTAATTTGCCTATACACAATTCTGTCTGTGTATTCATACCAAACATAGACATCATCTTTCCATCTATTCATCCATTGTAAGAGAATTACAAGTGTATATGAGGAGGTGTGAGCTGTGGAGATATAGGAAGGCAACAAAAAAAAGAAAAATATTAATTAGAAAATTTTTCCTCCTCACGTTTCAGTCATTAGTTAATTTTAGTGCTTTTTCTCTACTTACATCTCATCTCATTGAAGATATCTGCCAAAAAAAAAGTAGTAGGTAAAGAAAGAAAAGTTTTTTATGTGCTGATGCATATCTTTTACTTTTTGAGTATCCATTTGGGGTAGTTTTGATGATTTTGTCCAATTTAGAGGTTAAGTTTGATGAACCTTCAAAGAGATTAGATGTGACCCCAGGATGTTGTTACTTATCAGGACGATTAGAGAAAATATTAATGATTGCATTAATTTGGTAAGAAACTACATACGGATATGCAAAAAGGCAATAAATCTTATATTGTAAATATGATTTGAATAGCTTGGTCAGGAGAGTGTAAGGTTTCTACGCCAGGAGTTATGGGTTCGAGTCCTATTCAAATTAGCAGCATTATTAACCATCTCAATTTCATTCTTTTTTTTTTTTTTTGGGGAGGGAGAGATTCAAGATTCATTTTTGACAATTAAGCTTCTAGTCTTAGTGTTTGATCTGCAGTAAATAGTCAATAAGTAGCGATTTTAGCTCAAGACGAGAAACTGCATTAACTTTGAATATTGTAAGTCATAAGTGAATATTGTGCCTTACCAAAAATCTACTATTAGAATCAAGGGTGTGGTACTGATGAAATGAACAAAAATGATCAAAAATGATCAAAATTTATCAGAAATGATCAAAATGTAATTCTTCAGTTTCACACCCTTGATTAGAATAGTCTAAAGACTCTCCGAATTCCAACCATCCAACACTCCATACATCATCAGTGAACGATTCCCAAATGATATAATCAACAACAATAATGATAATAACACAAAATACATTAAAAGCAGGAAGATGTAGGCTTATAAGTATATTAAAAGATGTATAAAGTGAAAAAGTGTGTAACACAAATGAGGAATATTTTGGAATTTAATTAAAAACTTTCCATCTCGTCCATCTCCATCCATAAAAAAATAATCAAAAAATGAGATAAAATTTTCCCATTTCCAATTTTTCCTAGAAGTTTTGTTTGCATGCAAATAAAATGACAAAACCTGATTATTTCCGGATTAAAATGTTTATCATTTTTAACAGTGTTGAAAACATTAACTGCAAACTGATGTCATGAAATTGATAAGAAAATTAACCTTTTTTTTTCCTCATTGGATGCTCCGACATTTCGACATTCCATTCCGCACATCTTTTTTGCCTCATTCCTGAACTTTTAACACTGTAATCAGTAAACGAGCATCTTCTATGGCATATTTTTGTTTCATATTTTTTTTATTGCACACTGAATGAAGGGGCGCCCTTTTTTTATTTCATGAAATTTTTATGCAGCCATGTCCTTTCGTGGCAATTTTAGAAATTAAAAAAAGCAATTTTATTTAACATTGTAAGCATCGAGCTGAAGGGAAAAAAGAGTCATATAGACGTGACTTAATATATGAAAAATGAATGATGCACGTGATGAATGCTTTATAGAAAATATGAGTTATTTTTTTTTTTCGGTGGTGTTCGAGGTGGAGCAACTTTATTTTTGTGGGATGTAAATTTTTTGGTTTTATTTCATGTCTTTTTGAGGTGGACAGTGGGCATGTCGAAATGCTTGAAATTTTTATTATTGAATTAGATGGACTATAGATGTTTTTTTTTAAAAGGATATAGATACGGCATAGAAAAGGGGTTGAATGTGGATTATTACAACAAACATAGTCATAACGATTGTCTGAAAAAATAATTGGATGATGTATGGGGTGGTGATAGTATGGCGTCCATCAGAAATTTTTAATTTAGATTCTGGAACCCCTTTTTAATTATGAATGTGTTGTTGGTTCCAAAAATGTTATAAAGTTCCCCTGCCCTTATTACTAGATACATATTTTCTTTAAAGTTAAAGTCTAATGGCTCTTAAAATATGGATGAGTTCCAGCAAGGCTTTTTGCATCCTCAGAATGAGATTACTTTGTATCAAAGCAATTCTATACGTCATTAGCTTTACCAGCCTTTGAAACTTTATATTTGTCCAAAAAAACTGAAAAAAAAAAAATTTTAAAAATATAATTAATTTTTTAAGACTATCCTAAGCAACAGCAGGGACAATTTTCCAACTTTTGAACTTAATATCCCCTAAAAAACAATTTCTAATCTCAATCTTAATGTCCCCAAAAATTCATTTTATTTCAACTCCCAAAAGTAACATCAAACAACCCTTCGAAAAAATAAAAAAAAAAACTTCAAATCCCACCTTAAGTACACACACCTTGCACTAAACTGCTTCATTTTCTCAAGTAATTTGGAAGTTCCAAAGAGAAAATACGACCGAATCTCTCCATATTTTTCCATTCTACCCCCCATAAGTTGAATATTCCGGCAAAAGACTCTCATGTGCACAGAAATGGACTTAATGTTTTTAAAACACCATAAATCATAGCGAATCTTCACGCTGTATGCATGCATTTATATGTGAACGAAATTATGTGATGGGGTTCGTTGGTAAATGATAGACAGGTTCTTTTGGAGGCAGAGGTTGAGTGTACAATTGGAAATATTGCAACCATGAAAAGAGTGTGGGTCAAAAAACAATTAATTAATTGACGTCATTTATGATTCACCCCAGAGCAATTTTCTTATTTTTCGGAAAAATATTTTCCTCGATATATAAAATATTTTTCTTAGTAACTTACTTCTCCAGCATGTGAAGATATGTACATAAAGTATCAGATGTGTACGTCGAATGTAACAACATAATTTATTAGCTTTATATTTAATAATATCTTTTCTTTCTATTTTTCATCCCTTCATCGAAATATTGCTGCTGCTGCTGTATGCTGCTGTGATAAAAAAAATCCATAACCTCACAAATACATCGATATATAAAGGACGTTGCCAATAATACGAATGATATATGCGACAACAGTGTACAAAAGAAGAAAATTGTCGTCACTTATGGACAAAGTGTTCACTTGGGATGTTTCGTTAAAATTCCAGAAGTTCTGAAAAATCAACAAGTATCATGGTTCCATTATTCGAAAGATAAAGGACGGTGAGTAGCTATACACACATACAGACAAATAAATGACATGACAGAGGAAATATTTTCCATTTCCACTTATCTGACTCTATTTCCGGGGGACCAAAACATTGTACATGAGACGGACGAGACTTTATGTGTTGGTAATTTATGCCTCATCGGGGAATCAAAATGGGGAAAAAAAAGTTTTTGTGTCGCTTACAATTTTAATTGATTAATAAATCTTTTTTTTTCGTCTTTCTTTCCTTTTACATTTTTTATATGCCTCGGTGCTGCTGTTGCTGACTATCTTTCTCATCTACTATGCGTGATGCTTCAATATTCCATATGCAATGTGTGGCACATGTCGGAATGTGTAATGCGAACATGTATGAAACAGTTATGAGGTGAAATATAGTCCAACAAAATATATTGATACAACAGAACGTGGTCTAGTGGTGGTTTCTGTCAATGAAGGTGATGCGGGACGATATGATTGCTACTTGGGTGGCTCGTTATTGTGTAGTTACAGCATCACAGTTGATGCTCATAGGTGAGTAATAATGTAATGGGAGTATGAGATTGAGGAAATGAAATTATATGTATAGACAGCTGTAACTTTCTAGCTGTTCTGTTTCTGTTGCCATTTTTGCGCTTCAAGGGACACATTTATATCTGAAATGTGGAAATTCCTTCGCTGTTCATTCTCAATATTGTCATTTTGTTATAAGAAGCTGCTTATACAATTTCTTCCTCAATTTCTTCGTCCTCCAACAATGCACAGCGATTGCAATAAAAATAATTGGATTTCTATTTCTTATACAACTTTTTTTTTCTATTTTTTATTTCAATTTTTCCTTCGCTTTCCTCACACAATTTACTACTATTATATCGTATATGTGCTGCGTTCAACCCAGATGTACACCACCGAACAAAGGCAATGACTATCAGAAAATTTACTCTGACTGGTGTCACGAATTTGAAAAATACAAATCGGCTATGAAAACGTGGGAGAAAAAGCAAGCAGTAAGTAATATGTTCCATATGTTTTCTTTATTTCTTATCATATTAAAGTTTATACTTAGTCTTTATTAACCATATTCGCTATCTATAAAAGAGAAGCAGTGAGAAAGGCAAAAAAATAAGGGGGAAGGAAGGATATCAAGAGACAACATCAAGAGACATGTTTGACCTAAAAAGAATTTTTTTTAGAAGAATAAGATATTGCTGCTGGTAATGGTAGCAGTCAAGTTCATGCCATGTGACAGAATGAAAAATCGAATGTGGAATTAAAATTTTCTAACCGAAAATAGAGCATTAACGCCACTATCGATTACATAATGCATATATAGTGAGCTTCTGTGACTGCTTGTTATCTAATGGAGTTCGTTTTAGTTCTCAATTAGATTGGCAATGAAGAATTTTTTGGTATTAGGGTTGATTTTTAACTTACTTACTCACTTACTGTAACCATGTTCCTATATGAAGCTTAGGTTAAAACAAAAGGCTTTCCATCTGACTCTGTTTGCTGGTCTTGTCACTTAGTTTTTACAAATCTGCTCGCGCATTAAGCTGACATTCCTTCATCACTGTTCTGCGTTAAGTAGCTTTTGAAGCTCCTGGACGTCTCTTCTCTTGCGAATTCTATGGGCGATGTAACAAACTTGTGTTTCTGTCCCAGCAATGACATCCTCTCTGGTTGATTTTTAAGGATGGAATCATCAAAGCTTATAATGAATAGTTTGATGTCTCAATTGTGTAGTTTGTAATAGTTTTGAACCTTCAAAATAGCCGAATGGTGCAAAGAAAGCATGCAAGTGCTATTTTTAAAGAATCTGAAGTCACGACAGCCTCAAGCCGTTCTAAAGACACCATTTTTCTCTATATTTATGCCGTGTTCTTTTGAAGCATAACTTTTACAACTTCTAACCTATAATTCAAAGTTTGAATCTCATTAAAGATGCTTATTTCAAAAATTTCTAGGCTCGGAAACTAGGCGGTATTTGTATGGAATATTACAATCTTATAAGCTTTGATTATCTTATAAATTTCTTAAGAAAACCAATCAATCGATTGACATTGTCTCATGCCAGACCATCAATATCACTCAAATCTAATCTCAAAAGTTCTACGAACCAAACCTAAAACTCCAATCAAACAGCAAATTAGTTTTGCAAGTCAACAAAGATTTCGACGAATTTCCCCAATCCACTTCCTTCTTCCTAACATTGAATCAATGCCAAGACATAACCATGCTAATTCCAAATCCAACTTTATCATCAATTCCAAGAACTTATCCAGCCCAATAACTTTTCATTTCCCAAGTCAATTCTCTGTGTAATTCACTTGTATTTGTTGGACCATCCCAACTTGTTTCACAATCATCGCATGAGAAATGCTCAATAAAAGCTAAAAAGTGGTTATCGACAAAAAAAGAGAAATAATGGAAGGAGTGAGACTTGGAAAAACATCAGCACGAAAGAAAGCTTAAGTAATTTGAGAACTGAATTCATCCATCTCAATCAGTTCAGTGTTTACCCGAAAAAAAGAAGAAAAATAGAAGAAAGGATATTAAGGAATCGAGAAGACGAAATGAAATGAAATCAGAGAACAAGTATTGTATTTAAGGCAGCAATAGAATGGAAAAGCATACATGAGGATAAAATCATTCGATTCATTGATTTATTGTTTTTGCTTTCTTAAATTTCAAATATCGAGTTGGAGGTTTGGGGATGTATGGATGAGGTGATGCTGGATTTGAGGTTTTTGTTTGGGGATTTTAAGTTTGGAGGTCATTTTGGGACTTTGATTAAAACTGTCACTTTATTCAAAAATCTTGCAGCATCTCATAAACTTAACAATTTCCCATCACGACCATCATCCACAGCCTCACAAATTCTTTTTTTTATTACTTCAGAAAATCAGCAATAGACGGTTGAAAAAATGCCATAAATGTCCGACTCATAAAAGCACAATAAATTTATTGATAGCGACATTGTTGTCGTTGAGTTTCATTTTGATTTGAAATCTCTCTCTAGTAACTAATAATGGGATATATGATGGGATTTCAATGATTTCATATAGAATTTTTTTATTTATTTATGTCCAAATCCATTCACGAATGATAGGAAATGAAAAAGAGAGAGATTTTCTGCCTATTAAATGGATGAATATGTATTTAAGAGTGATGGACACAATGGCAAACTTTTTTATTTCATTTTGAGGATGAAGATAGGAGAAGAGGGGATGTTAGACTATTATAAAGGCATTTGAAATTGAAAAATGGAGATCATGAGGTGAATCTACTTAGTAAATGGATTATTGAGTGTCCTCAACTGATTGATAAGCTCTTTTAAGGATGATGGTGGAATTTTGGAGTATTTTAAGAGATTTGATGTTAATTGTCGTTTCGACTCCCTTGGAAATTGTGGGAATTAAGTAGATAAACAAAGTTGATTCATAAACTTGGTTCGCTAGCCTCTCGTACACAAAGACATTCAAGTTTAGGTTCAACTGTTTGAAAAAATAGGACTAAGGCTGATTTTGCACCAAAATTAAGTTTTGCCGGTTCCATCGCTCTTGTTATGTGCCGTTCTGACTAGATGATCATAACCTGTCGATATGAAAGGTGTGGAACTTATCATTATTATCAAAAATGATCAAATGTCAATTCATTAGTCAAGGGGCGCAGCTAGAAATTTTTTTGTATGGAAAAATTTAAGGGGGGGGGGTATTTTTGTGATTTTTTCCATTTTTTCACAAAAAAATATTCTAGCAAAATAAAGAAATTTCTGTGTACGTTGGAGGATTTGTCCCTCAAATCGCCCCAATTGCATTAGTCGACATGGATTCGAATGGCACAAGTCGGTTAATCGCCAGTTAATGCTAGTTTCGGTTGCCAGATTTCTCATCGATTAACAATCATAACTGGATGAAAGAAGCACGGATTGCATTTGTAGAAATAAGTATAAACTAGATTGAGTGAAAATCATGAATAAAGCTGCCATTGAGCTAAGATCATACCAGATAATAATCATTTTTGACACAATTTGATTAAGAACTTTAAAAGTTTCAAGTCATTCTCAACCCAACCTCAACATCTCACATCCTTACATCACAATAAATCTCATGATTTTGTTTAAAATTGAAGAATTTTCCAGCATTTCTCCTTCAAACTTTCCCATAAATCCGATAAGTTTGTGTCTTAAATTATGAAGCATCTGCTCGTCATGTCTTTAAAATTACTTTTAATTTGATCCACTTGCAAAGTTCCGTCCATCATCGCCGTCGACCATCAAATCTTGCAAAATGTTTGCTTCTTTAAAGGCTAAACAGCAACAGCAGCTACAAAAAACATCTTTAATATTACATAAACACAAAAACTTGGATTACATCATTACCCAGGTTCTCTCTCGTTTTTTTTGCGTAGATATTATTTTTTATAGTTAAGATAATCCGATCCTTAAAAAAAACTTCCTATTTTCTTGTAATCATTGTATTCATCAGACACACGTTTATATAAAAAAAGGGAGATACGTTGAGGATGAGAGGATTATATAGCATAGAAGAATAACATACATTAAAGAAATAAGCAGTTGGGGAGATAAAAAAAAACTTGTTTTTCTCTAATTTGAAAGGCTTTTCTGTAAATCAGTTTTGCATTATTGAAGAGGTTAAATCTGAATATATGTATGCGTAGCAACAACAACAACAACAGTATACAAAAAAAAATTGAAATCAAAATATGGAAGGAGAAAGGTTTCCATTGACCATCATTCTAATCTGTTTATAGCTCTTCGGTTGTGTCATTTGAAATCCATTAAAGATGTCCTGTGGACATATTGTTGGTGGAGTGATGGATTATTATTTCTTTGTGAAGGTAGATTTTGATTTTATTGAGTGCTGAATTTTATGGACAATTTTTTTTAAGGGGGTTCACAATTTGTGCAAAAAAAGCTTGTGAAAAACTTCATAAAATAGAACAATTTTTGATTCTAAAAGAAGTGGGACTTGAACCCAAAGAATCCAGGTTATATTAGCTTTTAATAATTATGTTTTGATTTTTGGTAGCTATCCTTAGGCTAAATGATGATTAGTATTAAATTAATATTTTAATAGAAAGTTTAGAATCAAGGAGTAGGGAGGCTTTGTTCAAAGTAGGTCAATTCATACTTCAAGCTTGCTTCAAGCAAATTGTAAGCTAGTGACTCCCCTCTCCCCTTCCAAAATCCCATCAACTTTTTTATTCAATTTTCTCTTCAATATCCAAAAAAAAATCCATTAATCAGTGAAATCCAAATTAACGAAAATCCCAATAAAAAAAATCTTTCATTATATTCAGCTTTCATCATGTCCACAATTGTCCAAAAAAATGAAAAAAAAAAATCTCTGTATGAAAAATTTAATAGCCTAGAACGCAAAGATAGCGACAGAACCTCAAACAAATGTGTGATATTGATTGTTTGGTAAGACCGACGTGTGTTTGAAGGATTTTTTTTCATGCATATGGAATGTTCCTCTCTCGCTGTGTGCAAAAACTGTACATCTGCGGTGCGGATTTTTTATTTGTTTCATTATTTTCTGAAATGATTGCAATTTTTTTTTTTCAAAAAAAAAACCCTCATTCAAATTTTTTTATGTACACACATACACACAAATGGCGCATTTTTAAAATGCCACTAAAATTAACATCCATCGAATGCAGCAAACGGTTATATATTTTTTTTCGGTCAGCCAAAACAATTCTCATTATGGTCAGCGTGGTTGTGTAATGGATTTTATTATTACTTTTATTATTATTGCCATTATTTGTTGCAGCATTTTTTCCCCGATGATTCTTACTGCTTTATGGCTTTAAAATGCAGTTTCATTATTATTGCATGCTGAATTTTTTTTGAAGGGCTGGAATATTTTGTTGAAGTGTTCTTAAAGCTGTCAAATTGATTGAGTTTTTTAAAAATTTTCATTATGGTCACTTTATTTAAAGATTTAATCAACAAATGACTTGAGTATTTTTCCCAATTATCTTTCATATCCCTCGAAATTAATTGAACAACATTGGTTACATTAAGCTTGTATGTAAACTGAAAAATTGCCAAGAGATTTCTCGTTGGTTTGTTAAATAAAATTCATCGGATAATATTAAGCATCATTATTGTGATTATTTGTTCAACAGCATTGCATTAATGCAGCCAACTGCATTGTTTAATGGTCAAATACTTATGCATATTATATGCTTCATCATGTTTACTTCAACTGCGAGAATTGTCGGATGAATGGGAATGTATGGTCGTTTGGCTGATTGTCTGGTTCATATGAATGAAACAGAGTTGCGAAACAGGCCACCTGTGAGAGGTGAGAACCGTTCAATTCCTTGATAATTTGTATGGTTTTGTTAGAAAAACCTTATAAATTATCAAGGAATTGTAGGGTTCTCTCACCTGTCACAGGTGCCTGTTTCGCAACTCTGGAATAAAATTATCTTGATGAGACTTGAACCCTTGATTGTTTAGTTGAGTTGTTGCATTAACCTACTTCAAGTGACTCATCTAATTCAAGCTGCAACGTTTTGAATAATAATCTGCTGAAATCCATCACTGCCCCCCCCAAAAACCATTCAAATACTTCCACAAAATATCTCTTAAACACCATGAATAATTTATTTAATTATAACTCATCAACAAATAACAAATAGCGCTTCAGTCTCTCTCCCGTCCCTTATAATTACCTTAACTTATTCCGTTGTATTATATGCGGTGTATTTTTAATAATATAAATCTCATAAATAGCCAATTAAATATTCATATTAATGTCAGTGTATAAAAAAATTATTGTATAAATATCAAGAGCAATCCATCATGTTTTGGACATTGGGGCTTCATTATTTGCTCTCTCACACTTACATTCGTATCATTATATTCGATATATTTTTTATTCAATTGAATTTCAATGCAGAACTTTTATGTTCATCAATATAATAAAAAAAATTGCTCATTGTTTCTTTTGGTATGTGTGTTGATGCTGCCTTGTAAATTGCAATAGCTTGTTGAAATTTTTATCGAGCAGAAAGAGAAAATACTTTTTAGCGGTCATAATTCAAGCCACATATGTGAAATTATTCATATTTTTGCCTGGAACAATAATCTGGTCTCGGTTTTATGCCTCTCATTCACATACCATAATGTGAGTGAGATGGAGAGACTTTATGTATGTACACATACAATGACTGGTGGCTTTAGTGAAGCCATATTCAATATTTTTCATATTTATCCACATATTCATGTGGTTAAACCAGAAAATCCGCATTATTCGTTAAATATTCAATATTACCATTAGCAACCAGTGATTATGATCAACATCTCTTAATGCACTTGTTCATTTCCTTATGTTTGCTTTTTTTGGGATGTTGTTGTTTGATGTGAATAGAAGGAGATATTATTTGGGGTTGTTTGTATGTTAGGGATTGCAAGGAAGTTCCTCTAATCACGGTAGAGTGTTTTGAAAGTAAATCCTTCTTTTTATGAGGATGTGGGTTCGATTCTCAACAACAACTGAATTCTTAAAGGTTGATTAGCTTAATGTTAGCAACAAAGGATAAGAGACCAGCTACAAAACATCAAAATAACACCCACTTCCCCCAATTTGCCTTTCTCAAAACTAAAATCTCCTAGATATAGAAACAAAACAACAAAATCCGATATTAATATTTTGTGTATTCTTTTACTTCCCTTTTTCCAGCAATGTTCAGCGAAACAAAACTTTAGCAATCAACATCCTAATGAAGTATTCAACAGAAACTCTAACAACAATGTCTGATGAGGTAAGCAGGATTATCCTTTTTTCAGATTTCCCGCATTAACTTTTACTCGTTCTTGTTATTATTTTTTCATTTACTTTTTTTGTTTAGCTTTGTTCTTGAGAATTAATGCTTTGGAACTAGCTGAAATAATTAAAAAATAAAGTTTGCGATCAATTTTTTAATATTTTTTTTGGTGGATGTTTGGTATGGAAATTTATTGATTGGATAGTTTTGCATCATGCTTTTAGGAATTGAATATTCAAATTTGAATGTTTTTGCTCTGTTATTGAACTTTATTCTGCTGTCAAACTCAGAAGTCCTTTGGTCAGAGCTGTGGGTATGTTAAGTTCTAGTTAAACTGGAAAATCAAGAGTTTTGAGGATTTAGCAACACTATTGATGAGCCTAGCAATTATTTCCTTCAAATGACATAGCCAACTGACTCTATTGAAACAAGGATCTCGACGGGTGTGTTGCATAGGCTGGACTGAACTGTTCTGTTAAATTTAACAGAACTATTCTGATAATTTTTTTGGATTTGTTCTGTTAATTTAACAGAATTTTTCAGAACTATTCCGATAAGTTCTGCTAAATTAACAGAATATTTTACAGAACTCTTCTGTTATTTTATTTTTGCGATTCGCATTTTTAAAATTTTTTTTTTTACAGAACTGTTCAGATAAAAACATCAGAATATTCAGTATCGTAATATCAGAACAGTTCTGATAATATCGGAATTCTACTGTTAATTATCTTCACTTTTATTATATTATTATCAAAGGTCATAAAAGCCAGTGTTGATAAAAAAGGTGCCTTCAAGCATAGTCTTGCCCATGACCAAGGCAATTGTCATGCAATTTCAACTTGCCTACGCTAGGTTTCACTTTTTTTCAAGACAGGTGCTGATCATCACCTTTACATGAAAGCTACGCGTAGATTTTTGACCTTTTTAATAATTACATCATGAACATCATTCTTAAACACTAACCTTTAGCACTTTGTTAAAGACATTCAGTGGCGTAGTCAACGCGGGTTTTTGGGGCAAACCCCTTTTTTTTCGAAAAATTTCTGGCTAAACTTCTGAAGACATTATTAATCCAAGATTTCATTCCAAGCACTAGAGTTCAAACTAGCAGCATAAAAAACGGGAGGAAACAACTTCAGGATCTAAAATCTTTTATCAGATAAGGGGTCATTCACTTATTACGTTTTAGCTTTTAAAGGAAATCTAGGATTTTCTAATTTATTTGTTCAAACAACTGATTTTCATTTCTTAGAATATTTACTATTTGGGTCAAGGTTTAAGTATTTGGGTCATAAAATTGTTAAAATTTTTTAATATAGGGCAAATCCGCGGACAATAAAAAGCTCCAAATTTTTGTTTTTCTCAAATTTCTCTTCTATTTGGCTATTTAAGTGATATTTTAATACCAAAACATGCGTATTTCCGACAAATGTACAACTTTCGATAACTTTGGCATGAAATAAATCATTAATTAAAGAGATGTTTTGATTTTTCTGGCGTCAATCTCTCCTGCAATCGAAATTTATTTTCAAAAAAAGCAAAAATTTTCTTAATTATAAATCTAGACAGCACCAGACTTGTTTTATAGCATTTCAAATTTAATTTTCTACCACATTCTTTTATCAGGTGTTAAAAAAAGTCACTTAATTAAGAGAAATTAAAGAAAAAAGCGTCAATCTCTCCTGCAAGAACACTTTGTTGCAAAACATCAGTTTAGAGTATTTTTTCGTAACACACGATAGATTTTCAAAAGTCATAAAACGTTAAGATCATAATCAGTTGAAATATCTAAATTATGCAGTGACTTAAAAATAATGTTTATTTTTGTTCAAAAATTGTAACGAGTTTTTATTTTTCAAATTTTTCCAAGTAGAGAAATATTACAACTCGCTTTTTGCCAGTTTCATAATTTTGCAGATTTACTTTAGAGTATCTTTTATATTAAAATAAACCGCTCATTTGAAGCGTCTTGGGCTATACAATATTTATGCATCATTTGATTTATTTCTGGTTTGAATAGCTCAGAAATTTTTCAATCATTTGGGATACGTTTTAGGATTTGGGTTTGACACCCAGAAAAATGAGACTACTCACAATTACACTGTGAGTTTATTTATAAATATTTATAAATTTCCGGAAAAGTGATCTACATGTGAGGTTTTTAAGTCCAACACCAGTTTGTGTCAGGACTTATAAACCTCAAGTGTTTTTTTTTTGAGTTATACAGGAAGTTATATTTGAAAATGACGTTTAGACTTATGATTTAACTTCTTTTTATTATTATTTAAAATAATTTATGGGCGATTCTACGAATGATTTTTTCTACAAATTTGTCTCCAAATCTATATTTCTCATTATCAGTTGCATTACTCCCCATGTTTCATGTATTTAATAGTAGATTTTACCGAGATCTACATATTGTTCTCACTAAAACATATTAAAAATGGTTAATTAAAGAATTATTTACATTCTACGAAAAATTACTCTGTTTCACATGAATTTTTTCGCCCAAACTGTCAAAATGTTTTCATTAATATCTTTAAGGTAATAAAATTTCCAGGAATACTAAGTATACAAAGTTATAGCTTAAAGTAACAGCTTCAAAATAATGTCAAAATCATATTTGTGAAAGCCTTAATTAAGCTGCAATTTGGATTCTACGAAAAATTTCATAAGTGAAACAGAGTAATTTGGAGACAATTCCAAAAAAACTACCAAATATTAAAATTAAACCCATGAATTTCTCAAGCCATAGCTAAGTAATTTGAGTGCAGATGTAATCATAATTCACAGTTTAACCAATAGAAAAGGAAATGAGAATTAGATTTTTGAAAAACTATGCACAAGTGAAATAAAATAATTAAAAAATTTCATGCAATTGACACGGATTATTTTCATGAAACCTTTTCGTAGAATTGCCCTTATTAAATATGAAAAAAAATTAACAGAATTCTGATAAATAACAGAACAGTTCTGAAAAATAATTGCGAATCGCAATTTTATTAACTGAACTTTTTAGCAGAACTTTTTCGATATTTATCGGAATTCTGATAATATTAACAGAATAATTCCGATAAATAACAGAATTCTGATAAAATTATCAGAACAGTTCAGTCCAGCCTATGCAACAGAAGCATTTTTTTTAAACATGTATGTAAATGATGAATATGTTGTAGCAATTTAGCGAATAATTGCGAATCAAATATTTATGGAAATTAAGCGGCTTTGTGAAAAATGTGGGAAAGTATTAGGGGATTACGAATAATTTTTGAAAAATTATATTTGAGATTTAGATAGAAATTTGTAGATGATTAAGAATTTGAGATGAATGGAAGTGGGTTGACATTTTGATTTTGTAAATCTGTGTAATTTTAAATTTTTTTTGATGAAATTTTTTATAATGTTATATATAAAAATTGGATAAATGTCATTGGATACACCCCCCCCCCCCTTCCTCGCTTCGCCTAATGTTAGCAGTTCTTGATCGGCTATGCCTCATAAATATATCAGCAAATATGAACAATTTGGGTCAGATAAATGTTGATTTAGATTGTCAAAAGCAGTGGTTCTCAAACTATGTGCCGTGATTTAATTTAATTGCTAAAATTGACCCTTTATTTTCATGTTTTCTGACTTTAAAAGGTCATGAAAATCATTTTGTGTACCTCGAGACTATTCAAGTGTTCCGTGTAAATTTCTATTTAAAATAATGTGCCGTGAACCAAAAGAGTTTGAGAAACAATAGTCTAAAGCACTGCTTTCCAAACTGTGTAAAAATATCTAAAGTCAAAGTGTGCCGTGGCTGAAAAAAGTTTAGACAATACTGGTCTAAAGTATGGCTGAAGGAGAGTGGGAGGAGGGGGGGTCTAGCTTTGAAATTTCTACAAAACATTCAATCACTAAGTTCTAATACCAGTTCATTCCTAACTCACCTGTTTGATTTTTAATTAATTCAATAAATTTTCATAGCTTGACATTTCATCGAGGCAAGTCTCTAATTACATTTTGAATCCAACGTTAGCAATTTTTGTGTCGACATTTAGCAAAAAATATTGAAAAAAAATTTTATAATTAATTCTCTTCTTTTTAATTTCAAACTGAGTCATGAATTTAATTTTTTTTGTTATTTTCTTTTCTTTACTTACAGATACTCGAATCGTTGAGTCTGCAAATTTATAATCAATTTGTCGGATTAGGAATTTCTACTTTAAGGAAAAAAAAGAACTGACGATAAAACAAAAAATTTAATAACTTAAATTAAATGAACAAAAAATAATATTTTTTATGATCAAATGATGATAAATTGAGCATAACTAAGGAAATAATAATGAGAACAAGAACAACAACAAAACAACTAAAATTAATTAGAATGATAAATGTAAAAAATTGACAGTTTTCGTAGATATATCGCAGGTAAAAGAAGGAAATTAGGAAATTGAACAAAATAAAAATGAGGAATCGATAAACAAAAATAGGAACAAAAAAATTATTTTTGTATAAAAATTGAATTTTTTTTAATTCATTTATTTTGAACTTAATTAATGATAATTTCTTGATAAGCAATTAATTGATAATTTTTCATTTACTTTATTAGTTTACTTAATTAATTAAAACATAATTTTTTTATAATACATATTTTTTTAAACTTCGATTACAATTTATTAATATGAAGAAATACAGATGACTGTGAAAAAAATGTTAAAAAATATTAATGAAGAAATACTCGGGAAGGTTTATTGGTGGAGGTAAGAGTGCTTTGTAGGGGGATTTTTAATTATTTTACTTATAAAAAAATGAAGACAGTTGAAAATTCTAGTTTAAGTTTTCTAAGATTTTCGAATTTTCGATTAAAAATTTGACAAAATTTCAAAATCAGCTGAAAATCTGGAAAAAATTCAAAATTCTGCTAAAATTTTGTCAAAACTTGCTCTTCTGCCACAAAATTAAAGACAAAATTAAATTCCAGTTTAAGTTTTGTTCAAAAAACTTCAAA